AGAGATCTGGCTTACAAAAGAACTGGTATCCAGATTTCCATAATCTTCATATCGGTTGCTCTCTTACTGTGACTTTCTTTTTGTCACTTGCTTGGAAGTGGCAAAGAACTGTTTTGCACTTCACTATTTTTGTCAGGAAAGATCCTGAAGATCCCCCATGACCTATTAAGCTCTGTAAACTTTAACAGATCAGAGAAAATTCTCTTCGGAAAATCCAGGTCTTGGGAAATCAAAGTCTTTTTGTTATATGTGTAAAATGTATAATAGAATAACAAAATAAAATTGAACCCTGGAAGCAAACCCAAGAAAAGCCTAGGGCTTCTTTAAAGTTTTCCTGAAGCTCTTCAATTCCTTACTTCTAGAGATGATGGATACGTAGACTTGGAGATTTATGACAGGGAAATTGAAGAGTATATATGTTAAGGAGAAGGATTTGGGAATTAGTTTTCTTCGATTAATATATTTTGGAGGATTTGGTTCATCTCCCATCATGATAATTTTTTTGTTACCAGACTTAGACATTTGGGTGAATCGTCGATTAATGGAACTCCAGTGTTAAGATACAAAAGTGGATTGGATCATACCAATTTTATAAAGTTTAAAAAGTTTTTAATTTGGGAGAGGTAAAATTTTAATAGAAAGTAGGGTAATTATTTAGGTGGAGGATGAAAAGCACAGGTTACTGCCCTCGAAATTAGCGACTACTTCTTTATTTTTTCCTCGAGAAAACGATCATTGGAGTTTTAGTACTATGAAATTTGTCGATTACGAAGGCTACGTAGCGGGTATAAGCCATAATGGAAACAATGATTTAATATTATTTGAATCTAGCAGAATAATCTAATGATTTTGTTGCATTATAAATTGTGTCAGACCTTAAACATAAAAAATTATTGCCCAAATAATACTTCAAGTAATTAATTATTAATGCTAAATGTTTGTTCTTAACATGTGCAGTGGTCTAAGGATAGATTGTGATATGAAAGTGTGATTTAAAAACTTGGAATATGTAAATATGTGTGAGTTAACATTGTATTTTTCAAATTTTTAGTTATCAAACCGTAATCCTCTCTATCCCGTATTAATGGAATTATACATCCCTTTTTGGCCAAGCCACGATCAAATATTTAAAGTTTTCCTAAAGATATTGACATCCATAATTCGATTTTTTTACTAAGATAATATTTCGGCAAATTAGCTGTTTTTCGCAGCTGTTAATAGGCGTTTAGTAGCATTTTGCTATAGTTTTGTTTGAATAATTTTCATAAAAAACGTTTAAAAGTTAAAGGTTTATTTTGAGTTAACTTTTCAACAAAACA